CACCCGGCTGCCACAGAGGGCCCAGCGCCTCTGCAGCCGCGCCACTTCCCAGGGCCGGGCCAGCCCCGGCGCCCGCGCTCTCGGGGCGGACTCCCCGCCCTGCGCGCTCAAGCCCGCGATGGCTCCTCTCGGATACCTCCTAGTGCTCTGCAGCCTGAAGCAGGCGCTGGGCAGCTACCCGATCTGGTGGTGAGTGAGTCTACTTGCGTTCGCCCCGGCCCCAGTGCCACCCTAGGGCAGCCGCCCCCGGGGGCAGGGCCCCCACCGTTGCTCTGCGCACTGGCTGCGGGCGGGTTGTTTTCCTTGGCTGCCACTTGGACCTGTTCGGGCCGCAGCTGGGACGCGGGTGGCAGAGCTTCCGGGGACATTGATTCCCCTGGCAGGCGGGGAGGGAGGGCAGTGAAGGTCCATGCTGTCCCTGGCGTCGAACAAGAATGGCAGAAAGCGGGTCAGCACATGACACTAACGCCGAGGCGATGGTCGAGGCAAGAGTGTAAAAGGGAAGCAGCGCGAGGAAGAGGGAGACTCTTCTTAGGGACCGTATTTTACACACACACACACACACACACACACACACACACACACACACACACACACACACTTTAAAACAAAGTCGGCGAGACAAGACTGAACAGCTCGGGGCAGCGCAGTTACGTAAAGACAGTCCGAGACCGGGCGGGGAGTGGCGCGGAGCCTGCGGCAAGGCGCACCGGGGCCAGCCGGGGAGCCCTGCGCGCTTCCCTAACGCTGTCGCTGTCGCTTCTTCGTGGCTGTCGGGGTCTAGGGGTCGGTCTGCTGTCCACAGCCTGTATCTCCCTGACAAGGAAACGCTGCTGCGGGGAGGGATGAGCAATAGGTAAAGTAAGGGGTTTGAGTTTCCCGGAGTGAGAGGCTTCGGAGACCCCGTCCTGGAGAGGCTGGACAGCATCCTCCTCTCCAGACAGGGCACACTAGGAGGAGACCCTTCTCAGCCTGGGGATGGAGCGAGGTTAAGAAAAGGAAAGGTCCTGGTTCTCAGGCCCCAGGTCCTCCGCACGTACCCTGAGAGGAGGGGAAATTGGGGCGCCCCTTCCTCGGGGTGTGTGACAACCCCCCTCCCTGCATGGAGCTGAGACTTAAGGCCACGATCAGATGCGCAGATCTCTCGAACACAAGCGAGAGGAATGCGGGCGCCAAGGGGCCGGGACGCGCTGCTGGTGGAGACTCAGTTGGACAGAAGCCTCCCCACAAACATGCGCACCCCCCCCCACACACACACACCCAGGATCACTCTCCGACAGCTTGCCTGGAATTATAATAATTATGCCGAGGGGAAGGGGGGACCCAGCGAGCCGAAGTACATCTAATCCGATAATCATTTTTCTCTTCGAGATGCTTCAGGAGAGGAGCTGAGGAGCCTGGGGTGGGGATGCAGGGACCGCGCCAGCGCCGCCGCTGCAGGGATGGAGGGTGAGCAGCCGGGAGTCGGCTAGGGGCTGGAGAGGCGGCAGGGGCAGCGGATGCGCTCTACAGGGATCTAGCTGAGCCTCGGGGCTCACCGGGAGTTTTTACCACTCGGCGCAGCACCTGTGGAGCCCTGTGGCCTCCGGGAGCGCGGGCTGCGACCGGCACATGTAGGAGCGGGGACACATTGAGGCGCGTCCTACGGGTCGCTGGGAGCCAGGGGCAGCGCGTCCGAGAGAGCCCCGCGGGCTGCCAGCTCCTGCGTCAGGCTTCTAATTAGAACCCGCCGCCGCCGAATTCCTGGGCTCAAGAGGAAGCGCCTTCGCCCCCGCTCTGCTCCCATAAAGAAGGGCCTTGTCGCCAGCCTCCTAGCTACCCCGCGCCCTGGGATTTTTGTCCCTAAGGTCGTGATGGGGGGCAGGGGGAGAATCTCTAGCCGGGTCCACCCAGCCCAACAGAAGTATAGCTTCCTTTTCACCTGGGCTGTTAGAACCCCCCCCCTCGGGTGCACCCGGCATTCTCCAGGTGAGAGGGGAGGGGTGTGAAAAAAGTGAGGCCCCCTAGCCTCCCCACCCCTCCCATCAAAGGACTAGGGGCAGCCCTTTGGCCTCAGAAAGTGATACGGAAGTCCACCTGGTATTCATAGGGGTGGGTGACAAGAGTCACCTCTCCGCCCACCCCCTACTCCCACTTTGTTCTCTGTAGGATTCTCACACTTAACAATTCTGCTTCCTGAGAAGCAGCCCCCCTCACTCTGGGATGCTGGCTTCCTGGGGACAAGACCGAGTTCCCCTCCTGCCTCCTCCGTTCCCTCTCCTCCCTGGCAGGCTCAAAGTGTCAGCTGGCTCGGGTATGCTGGCAGAATGGAGAGGGGTCGCCTAAAAAGAGTAGCAATGGCTGCGGGCACTTTATACAGCGTGATAGCTGCCTCGTTAATAAAGGTTGCTTTGCGTTTTCTACCTATCCAAGCTGCAAGTGTCTCTTTTCTCCTGCCCACACTCCGGGTCTAGATGAGACATAGCCCCAAAAGTAGGAGGGGCGGGGAACGATATATCATAGCCACTGCTGGGTGAGCTCCACACGGAGGCAAAACAGAGGACTTGGGAACGTTTCTCTTTTTCCACCCTATGATTTGTTACATTTATGCTCAGGCTACCCATTGATTGTTACTTCACCTTCCACGGGGCCTGTGCCTCCCTCCTCCTTTCTGGTCCCCAACTCCCTTCACCTATGAAAGTGAAAGTGAATGGCAGAAAACCTCCTCACCTGGAGAAACAAAACCAGGAAATCTCCAATCAGGAGCAATCAGGCTTTTGAAGTTGGTGTGGCTCTTAGGGGGAAGGAGGGAGAGAGGAGAAAGTTAGCTCTGCTCTGCACCTTGGGTGACCTCGAATGTCCACCACCTCCCCAGGACCTGCTCTGAGGGATGGTGTGTCCAGCCCCAGTGCCAGTCGTGATACCACGGAGAGACAGGCCTCCAAGAGTGTCTCTCCTGGGATCTTCAAGAGCTGGGGCAAGGGGCAGGCAAGTGGACCAGAGCACGGGGAGGGTCTGTTTGCCTTTCCTGCTCCTCTTTCCAGTTTCTCTTCTCACAGTATTAGAACTGATTGCAAAGAGCCCAGGGGAAGAGGAGAGGTTCATGAGGCTAAAAGAATGTGGATTCCTTTAGAGGACAGTCCCTATGGACACTGGAAGAAATCTAAGATGTGCTGCTCTCCCTGACCCCCCTTCCTCCCGCTTTCTTCTTATCTCCTGTCCCAGGGGTCAGCCTTGTGCCCCCCCCTCCAGACTCTGAGCTAATCTCGTGTCAGGGGAATTGACTTTATTCAGATTTACAAATTCCTCTGTGCCCGCCACCACCCCATGGGCCATACTGCACTGCTGTGTTCCCACCCTCCCTGGACACGTCTGGCCTCACCCCACGCTTACCCCATGCCCTCACTGCCCCCTGAATTTCCTGTTTAGGTGGCTGCTTCCCTGCTCCTTTACTGGTGGAAGAGCCCGGTCCCAGATGCCCTTTCTCCCTTGTTCCTCGGGTCTCCTCTCCTATGGACGAGTTCCTGTTGGACCACGGGCTCCTGAGTATGAAAGCCACACTGCAGAGCAGGTGGGACCAGTGAGTGCCCAGCTCTCCCACAGCCCCTCAGTAGCTTCTAACAATCTCCTTTCTGGGGTTCTCCCTCGTACCCCCGAGACTGTGTGCTGTGTCCCATTTCTTTAAGACCAACTCTAGTTCCTCTTCTCAGCACAGAGGTCCCTCTGGCTGTTAACGGTTCTGCAGCCATGCCCCCATGCGCTGCTGGGCACAGAGAGCCCCTAGAAGCCAGTGTCCTTAGCCCATTTCCTATCCCCTTGTGGCCTGGTGATCACTGTCAGCAGTCTGGCCCACAGTGGGGACAAAGTCTCCTGGTGGAACACACAGAGAAGGTGAGAGAGAGAGAGAGAGAGAGAGAGAGAGAGAGAGAGAGTAATGGGCAGGGCACTGTGACCCTGGGAGTGAGTATAAGGCAGAGAGAAGGTTACAGATGAGGTGGGGGGTACGTGTAGAATCATCAGGTAGCCACAGTGAGTAGGCTGCTGTGTGGCGCAGACAAGCCGATGAGAAAGGTCAGCTGGGCAGAGACAGGTAGACTGAGGAGGAGTCGAGCTAAATTTCTTGGCTTGTTCCAGGCAGGTCCGCAGACCCCACTCCCAGAGCTGTCCTTGATGAGCCTCATCCCAGTCCAGCCCACAAAGCGTGGCCTCTGTTCTCACCCTCAGGGAGGGTGGGAACACAGCAGTGTGGCCCATGGGGTGGTGGTGGGTACATGAGGATCTTCTTGCTCCTTCCTCCTCTGCCCAGCTCTGTCTCAGTTCTCTTTCTGTTCGTTCCCTCCCTCCCTCCCTCCTTCCTCTTGGTCAGTAACTGACATACAACTCACAAAGCAAGAGAAAGCAAGACACTAAGCAAATCACCCCCACCACTAGTACCCCAGCTGCTCCAGAACTGCCAATCACCTAACGTTCTTCATTAACCACCCAAGGAATAGTCAAAGCCAGCCCTCTCCAGAGCCCAGCTTGTCCAGCTCCTCCAGACATTGGTGCCGACACCCTCCAAATGCTATGGGGGAACATCTCCGAGGCTGGGTGTCTTTATTTCACCCGGCTTTACACCCCCTTAAAAAGATTTTCTATCTCATTCGCATAAAGCTTCCCAGACCCCTTTGTGTCCAGAGCAGAGGGTGAGTCAATATAGTAGCAGTGAGTATGCTTTCAGGTGATCATTAATGGCCTGGTAACATCCCCCACATACACAGACATTTGGTCCCTTGTACAAACCTTTGGCCTGGAGGGTCAGAGAATTTCAGTTCCCTGGCAATGCAACCATCCTTCTTTTTGGTGTGGTCCAGAATTCAGGAAACAGGACTCAGCTTTGTCACCTTGGTCCTCAGAATATGGTCAATGCTTCTTGATGTGTAACCAGATCCCACCTGTGAAAGATCAGCCACTTGTCTGTGAAGAAATACAATCTGAAATGAAAGCACGCACTCGTGTGCATTTGTGTGTGTGCGTGCATGTGCGTGCGTGCGTGCGTGCGTGCGTGCGTGCGTGTGTGTGTGTGTGTGTGTGTGTGTGTGTGTGTGTGGTAGAGGAGGGAGAGGTTGGTGATATCACAGAAGCTTGAAGATAGCTCCCTGGCAAGTCAGATTCTCCTCCGGTTGGTCGAGGAGGCATCTAAGCCTGGGTGGCATCCTGAAATCACTCGT